ACTGGTGGGTGAGCATTGCCCTTACCTGCTGGGCAGACAATTACCAGCCAGCAAAGTGGGGTCCCGCGGCATTCCAGGAAATGCAGATTCTGGTTCCTTGCTGCTGCCGTGAAGACCCACGCATCTCCATGCTGTCCTTAGAGCTCTCAGGAGCACTGCAGCTCTGCAGCCACCTGTTGGACACAATACAGTAATGAAGGCACTGCCCCGCATATGTAGGGCTGCACCCTGAGCACATTGCTGTAATGATGACGCAAGGGTTATAATTAGTTATAATTATAATTAACCTTAAGGGTATGATTAATGCTATTGATAGGTTTGAAGTTACAGTTAGTCTAACATCAGTATTCTGCTCTACAATTACAATTAAGATTACTTTGACAGAAAACGTGGGGCATTATTTTTACGGCAGCACTTAGAGTAAGAGACATTTTTAATACTGGGTTAAGGGTTTGGTTCACAGGTACACTGCAGGTTAACGTAATTATCGTTGGAACTCCCATCCAGCTATGGGTTCAGGTCAAGGTTAACATTAACGCTGCCTCTCAGTGTTAGTGGGATCCCAAAGTGCCAAAGGCAAGCAGAACTCCCAGGGCAGGCAAAGGCAAGCAGAACTCCCAGGGCAGGCAAAGGTAAATGCAAAGCAAACAGCCAAGCTAAGGCAAGGGCAAAAGCAAAGAGAGCACCCAATGGAAAGCCAAGGTGAGGGCAAGGAGAACGCAACAGGAAAGGCCAAAATATACAGCCAAAGAGAACACAGAAGCAAAGGCCAAGGGCATAGGCCAAGAGAACGCAAGCACAAAATGCCAAAACAAAAGGCCGACGGAACACGACATGGAATGCCCAGGCAAGGGCTAAGAAAACATGGCAGGAAGTGCCAAAATAGGAGGCCAAAGAGAACGCGTCAAAGAAGGCCAATGCAGAATGCAGCTGGAACGCCAAGACAGGAGGTCAAAGAGAATGCTGCAGGGAATGCCCAGGCAAGGGCCAAGACAACGTGGCAGGAAATGCCAAAACAGGAGGGCGACAGAACGCTGCCGGGAACGCCAAAAATAAATACTGAAGAGAATGTGGCTACAGAAAGCCAAGGGCAATGGCCAAGAGGATGTGGCACAGGACACAGTAACAGGAGGGCAAGGGAATGCCCAGACAAGGCCAAGAGCCAAGAGAACATGGAAGGAAATGCCAAGGATGATGGCCAAGAGAACACAGCAAGAAACGCCAAAACAGGAGGGCAAGAGAGAGCAGCAGGGAACGCCAAAACTGAATGCCAAAGTGAATATGGCAAAGAAAGCCAAGGGCAATGGCCAAATGAACGTGGCATGGAACGCAAAAACAGGAGGGCAAGAGAATGCAGTAGGGAACACCAATGGCAAAGGGAAGGAAAACACAGCAGTGAAAGGCCAGAGACAAGGAGAACACAGAAAGAAAAGGACAGGCAAGTGCAATTAAGAGCTCTGGGAGCACCGTGCTGTGCCACGCTATGGAGTGGGTAAACACTGGTGGGTGAGCATTGCCCTTACCTGCTGGGCAGACAATTACCAGTCAGCAAAGTGGGGTCCCGTGGCATTCCAGGAAATGCAGATTCTGGTTCCTTGCTGTTGCCGTGAAGACCCACACCTCTCCATGCAGTTGTTATGGCACTCGGGAGCACCGCAACTCGCTGCCACCTGTTGGACACAATGCAGTAATGAAGGCACTGCAGATGTAGGGCAGTGTTCCTTTCAGACGTGCGCTGCAGTGCTCCTTTCTCAGAGCAACATGGCTGCACTCTGTGCACGATGCTGCTTACCAGCAGCACTGAAGCTGAGAACAACAGACAAGGAGAAGGCTCAGGTACCCAACAATATTTTTGCTTCCATCTTCTCTAATAACTGCTCACTATACACTGCCCTCACCTTTGGTTTGGTAGGTGGGGATTGAGGAAGCAATGCCGCCGCCGCCCCCCCCCCCCCCCCTCCAATCCCACACTGTGATGGGAAATCAGGTCCTGGACCACCTGAGGACCTGAACATCCAGGAGTCTTTGGGTGCTGACGAGACGAGTCCCAGACTTCTAAGGGAATTCAGTGCTGCAGTCACTGAGCCACTGTCAATGGTATTTGAGAAGTTGAGGCAGTCAGGTGAAGTCCCTGATGAGCAGAAAAAAGGCGACAGCACAGCTGTTATTACAGATAGAAAGGATGACCCTGGGAAATACCAACATGTCAGTCTCACCTCCGTGCTGGGAAAAATCATGGAGCAGATCCTCCTGGAAGTGACTCTGAAGCATGTTCCAGTGTGTCACCACCCTCTGTATGAAAAGCTTCCTCCAAATAACCAACCTAAACCTCCCGTCTCAGTTTAAAACCATTTCCCCTTGTCCTATCACGATCCACCCTCATAAACACCCATTTCCCTTCCTGCTTATACACTCCCTTCAAGTACTGGAAAGCTGCAATGAGTTCTCCCCCAAGCCTTCTCTTCTCCAGGCTGAACAAGCCCACTTCCCTCAACCTTTCCTTGTAGGAGAGCTGCTCCAACCATCTGATCATCGCAGTGCCTCCTCTGGACCCGCTCCATGAGCTCCACATCCTTCCTGTGCTGGGGGCCCCAGGCCTGGATGCAGCACTGCAGATGAAGCCTCACAAGAGCCGAGTAGATGGGGATGATCACCTCCCTCTCCCTGCTGGCCGCTCCTCTTTTAATGCAGCCCAGAACACAGTTGGCCTTCCAGGCTCCAAGCGCACTCTGCTGGCTCATGTCCAGCTTCTCACCCACCGGGATCTGCAAATCCTTCTCTGTGGGGCTGCTCTCAAGGTGTTCTTTGCTGAGTTTGTACAAACATCTGGAATTGTCCCTTCATCAGTGACATTGACAGTGGGGTCAAGTGCACCCTAATGACACCAAGCTGTGGGGTGCAGTGACACACCAGAGGGACGGGATGCCATCCAGTGGGACCTCAGCGGGCTGAGTAGTGGGCACTCAGCAATGTACCTTCCTGGCCCAGAAAGCCAACTGTATGCTGGGCTCCATCCAAAGATGTGTGGTCAGTAGGCGAAGGGAGGCGGTCCTGCCCCTCTGTTCTGCACTGTGAGACCTCACCTGGAGGTGCTGTGTCTGGATGTGGATGTCCGCAGTGCAGTACAGATGTGGAGCTGTTGGAGCACATCCAGAGAACAGCCACAGATATGAACCGAGGGATGGAATGCCTTTCCTATAAAGAGAGAGAGAGCTGGAGCTGCTCAGCCTGGAGAAGTGAAGGCTCCGAGGTGATCTGGTAACAGCCTTTCAATACTTGAAGGGAAGAACAAGGAAAGATTTAGCCTAGATATAAAGAAAATCTTGCACAGTGAGGGTGGTGACACAGTGAAACAGGTTACCCAGACATGTGATGGATGCCCTGTCCCTTCCAAGGTGAGGCTGGGTCAGCCTCTGGGCAATCTGATCTGGCTGTGGATGTTCCTATTCGTTGTGTGGCAGTTGGACGAGATCACCACCAATGGTACCAGGTACTCCAGCTGGGATAATCCACATCTATCACAGAGCCTCTCTGGGCCAGTCGCAGTATTCAGCAGACCAGGGGCTTCACTTCATCACGCTGTTGGGAACCAGAGCTGCAGAGCTATTGAATGCGGGTCAGGGGGTGGGAGAAAGAGGAATTGTGTTTTGGGTGTCATACAGATTAGGAAACTAACAGCATCTCCAGACAATTAGGATGGAGATATCTGGGGTGAGGCTGAGTACAGCAGTCCAGAAGAGGACAATCCTTGGCTTTCTATAAAGATGAAGATTTATTACACCTAGGGTGCACAGAATACCCTTAAACAACTCTGCATGGTTAGAAGCAGTGCATAACAGCCCTGAAATAAAGAAAGAATAAGTTACCCCATTCTAAAGATGAACACTCAGCCCACACTACCAAGGAAGTAGTCTCCAGGTACAGATGCTGCCCTTATGGCTTCCACCCCTTAAAAGTGGTCAGGATACTAAAAAATTATCAGGAAAAAAATTATCAGGAAAAAAATTATCAGGAAAAAAATTATCAGGAAAAAAATTATCAGGAAAAAAATTATCAGGAAAAAAATTATCAGGAAAAAAATAAAAAAGGGGAGATTGCAGCCCTGAAATGAAGAAGAAACCATTTACACCCTTCTCAAAGGCCAAAACTCACCCCTGCTCCACAGGAGACAGTCTCCAAAGATCAACATTACCCTTACATCTGTCAGCACTTAAATGTGGTCAGGATGCCCCAAAAACCAAAAGGGAAAGGTCACAGCCCTAAAATGAGAAGGAATCACTCACCCTTTCTCAAGGACCAGACCTCACCCCACACTCCCAAGGAGACAGTCTCTAAAGATGGATACCACCTTAAAGGCTGCCAGCCCTTAAGTGGGGTCAGGATCCTCCCAAAAACAAGATATTGCAACTCTGGAATAAAGAATCACTCACCCTGTTTCAAGGGTTCACCCCACACTCTAAAGGAACCAGCCTCCAGGTGCAGTTGCTGCTCTTTCTGCTGACAGACCTTAAAAGTGGTCAGGAGCCCCCCAGAAAAAGAAATTACAATCCAGCAATAAAAAAAGAAATCACTGACCCCATTCCAAAAACAAACACTCAGCCCACACCCCAAAGGAAGCAGTCTCCATGCAGAGATGCTGCCCTTACAGCTTTCAGCCCTTAAAAGCAGTCAGGATCCCCAAAAACAGAAAGACCAGAGCCCTGCAATAAAGCATCAATCACTCACCCCATTCCAAAGAGCAGAACTCACTCCCAACACTCCCAAGGAGGCAGTTCCCAAGCAGAATGCTACCCTTGCTGTTCCCAGCCCTTAAATATGGGCAGGGAGGGGTGGAGCCAAGCTCAGCCCTATCCGGTCCCACAGGTAAATTGCTTCCACCTGTGCTGGCAGGGCTGGCCACACCCCTCACCAGGTGCTCAATCACTTCTTCAGACTGTAAACAACAACAAAAAAAAAGACTAATTACAAGCAGGTGATTGGATCTGCCTGTCTGGCAAGGGGAGTTTGATCAAAGGATGAGCAACAATGGCATGCGTATTTTGATTGAAGTCTGTCCTCAAAAGCATTCAGTAAAATTTCTAATAGAGAGGGGAGCACAAATTTCAGTACTGATACAGCAAGGTGATGAAAAGCTGTGTGTGCAGCCTGGATGGCAGAGTTGAGATCACTGGTGTGATCGGAGCGAGCGCTGTTTGCCAAACTAGTGGGGACAGCTTGTGGCTCTCCAGTGAGAAACGTGTCACCTACTTTCTTTGTAATTAAAGCCCATTGTGAAAACAATTCAGGATTTGACATAATCAGTGTGTGAACCTGGCACCTGCCTGTATGGCAGTGTGTGGCCTTTTGGGTCAAGTTTCAATCCCAGACTCCAAAGAAATAGGCAGGCTTCAGCGTGTGCACTTTATGCAGCCCCTGTGCTCCCTGAATCAGGGGTCGCTAACATACCACTGTACCCCATTTCTGCTGCAGCATGATGTGGGATTTCTGAACTCATAGCAGGTTTGGAGAAAAGACAAATTGTTTCCAGAACAGACTCCCCACATAACTCGTTGTCATCTGGTTTGGAAACCAGATGGAAGGTGGTGATTAACAATCGATTATCGGTGTCTTAAAGGTTATACAGCCCCGCTAGGAGCTGCTGCCCCAAACCTTGCTTACTTGGCAAGCAAGTTGGGGTGATGCCATGGAGTGATGCTGGGATGACACTGGTGTGAAGTTGTGGACTGAGCCTGGAGAGTGACGCTGGAGGATGATGCTGGGGTATCGCGGGGGGGGGGAATCAGAGAGAGAGGGATACTCGATGGAGGCACTGGGGTGACTTAGTGTGATGCTGGGGGGTGACGTTTTTGGCACGACTCTGGGAATGACATTGGGGTGACACTGGAGAGTGATTCTGAAGTGTCATTGTAGTGGCATAGGTGATGTTGGGGCTTTTTGGGGAGGAAGGGTGGGTGACATCAGGGAGTGAACACTGGGTGGTGACGTTGTTGGGTGTTATATTGGGGACCTAACGGCCCCTGACTGAAGAATGATCCTGGAATTGAATAAGGTATTTTGGCAGTTTTAAGGGAGTTGATATTTGTGGCTGTGGCTGCAAATGTTTTGTAGAGAGAGCTGTCCCTGGTATTTGGTCTTGTGCTTGCGAAGACTTGTTTTGCAAGCTGATGTTCCAGCTGGGCTCTTGTATGGGAACTGCTGAGTCATGGCCTGAACCTCTGATTGATCACCTGAGGCGAGCCATGAGGCAGCCAGAGGAGCACAGGTGAAGGCAATTCAATTCACCTGTGCTGCCAGAAGGGGTGGAGCCTGGCTGCCTCCTCCTAGAGCTATTTAAGAACTGGCTGCCAGCGGGGAAAGATCTCTGCTGGAGGTCTGCTCTGCTGGAGTTTTGTGAGTGAGCCTAGGATAGGGGTAAGCCTTCTATTTATTCTCTTTTGTTGTCATAGTCTGCTTTGCCTAACTGTCTTGTTTATTTTGTGATTATAGTATCCTAAAATTCTTTGATTGTAGAGCTCTGTATCATGCACTGGCCATATAGGTACAGCATGCAAGTGGAACAAACCCTGCAGACCCTAGGGAGAATGAAAGTGGGAGAAAGAGTAGAAGTGTGCTTTGAAGTAGGGGATACCCTGCTGGTGATGCTGATCAAATCCACTGCTAGCATGTTCCTTCTCTCTCCTTTTTGGTGGCTTGCTATCTCTCAAGGGTCAGATAGTAATAGCACACTTCCTTAGGGAGATTCTGCTTCCCGCTTAATGGAATTATCTAAAATTTTAGAGTGACACCTGGAGGAAGTAACACTGTGGTTATGTTGGAGTGATGTTGGGATATCAATAGGATAGATGTTAGGGAGTAGCATGATAGGGTGACATCATTGGGAGTGATGTTGGAGTACCACAGGGATTTAATGTGAATGACTGGCCCTGGGGTGAGAGCGTTGGGGTGACAATGTTGGAGTGATGCTGAGGGTGGATATTGTGGTGATGGTGAGGGGTGACGTCAGGAAGTGACTCCAGGGTGACATTGTTGGTTCGGCACTGGTGGGTGGTGTTGGGATGAAAGGGGGGTGATATGAAGGAGTAATGCTGGGGGAGTGATGCTGGAGCATCCCTGGGGGGTGACATCAGGGAGTGTTGGGGCTGATATTTGGAATGAAATAATGAGCTTTTGGGAACTCAATTTGGGGTGAATTAGCAAGGACGTGAACCTGGAGTTTGGTGTGAACTATTGATGGTTTGGGTCTGGAGTATGATGTGAAATAAGCTTTGGAGCTTATTTGGATGGCAGTTTTCAGTGTAAAAAATGCTCTTTACAGTTTCTTTGCAGGAAGAGGATAAAGAAAAGTCTGCTTTCACACAGGAGGGGTTATGATATACCTTTAGCTGACTCCCACAGGGGTGTACACACTCTCCCACTATTGCTCAAGCCACCTCAGTGAACTTCAATAGAGTTTCACTGCCTTAGGATGTGTATCCATGTGTAGATGATATTTAATTGCAAGCTCATGCCCTGGAAAGGTGGGGGAAGTGGCAGCAGCACTAGATGACTGAGAATTTGAGATTCCACCTGCAAACTGTCAGGGACATGGATCCAAGTTGAAGGAGGGAAGATTTAGGTTGTATGTTAGGGGAAAGTTCTTTACTAGGAGAGTGGTTAGGCCCTGAAACGGGCTGCCCAGGGAGGTTGTGGATGCCCCGTCCTTGGACGTGTTTAAGGCCAGGTTGGATGGGGTCCTGGGCAACCTGATCTGAATGTGTATGTTTGGTGGCCCTGCTAGGCAGGGGGGTTGGAACTACATGATCCTTGAAGTCCCTTCCAACCCGGGTGATTCTGTGATTCTGTGACTAAGTAAAGGAGTAAAATTTTAAGGCAGCAAAGGCCAGCAAAATTGTGCAGACTTGACTGAACCAAAGCGAAGATATGGGAAACCAGTGTGAACAGAAGCAAAGCTGTGCAAAATCTTACAAAACCATGTGAACTTCACGGAATCTCAGTGAAGACCAGTGATCCTGCAAAGTCTTCAGTGAACCAGGGCGGACTTCTGCAAAGCCCAGTGAAGGCCCACAAGCCTGTACAAAAATACCACAAATCCTCATGGACATCAAAAGGAACCCAAGTGAAAACCCACAACATCGTGCGTCCTTTGGTTCATTCAGGTTTGGAATCTGGCAATGCAGCCCAGCTGGATAAGGCTCTTGTAGACTGGTAGTATTTTCTTCAGGAACACTGAAATCTGAATCAGTGGGACATCGCTCGTGATCTATTATCCAACTCTTACCTTCTCCTCCCCTGGTTTCTCATTGCTTGAGTACTTCAGGTTCACAGAAGATGAAAATGAAAAGAAAAAGGAAAAGGAAAATGGGGGGGAAAAAAAGGGAAATGGAAATGAAAAAAAGGGAATAAAAATGAAAAAAGGGAAAAGGAAAGGAGAAAAGAAAGATGTAGAAAAAGAAATAGAAAAAGAATAATAAAAGGAAATAAAAAAGGAACAGGAAATAACTAGAATTATTAAAAGGAAAATTATTAGAAAAAGAAAAAAGAATTTGAATTACAATGAGGATAGGAAAAAGACAAGGAAAAAGACAAAATAATTAGAATTAAGAAAATAAATATAAAATGGATTGGAAATAGAACTAGAAGAAGAATTGGAAAAGGCAGAGGAAAAAGAACTGGAATTAGAAAAAGAATTACAAAAATAAAAAGGAAAAAGAAAACCAATTAGGGAAAAAAATATTAGAAAAGGAAAAAAATCAAGAATTAGAAAAAGCAAAAGAATATGAAAAAGAAAAAGAATTAGAAAAAGAATTAGGAAATAAGACAAAAAGAATTAGAAAAAGAGTAAGAAACAGAAAAGAAACAAGAAAAGGGGAAGAAAATATTATAAAAATAATTCTAAATAGAAAAGAAAGAAAATAATTAGAAAATGAAAGAGAAAAACAATTAGAAAAAGAAAAATCGAAGACGAATTAGGATTAGAATGAGAATTGGAAAAAGAAAAAGATACGGAACTGGAAAAAAATGGGAAATAAGAATTAGAAAAAATATTAGAAAAAGAATTGGAAAAGGAACTAGAAGTAGAAAGTAAAAAAAAAAAGTGAAAAAATAAAGGAAAATGAAAAAAAGTGAGAAAAAAGTCTAGAAAAAGAACTAGAAATAGAACAATGAAAAATAATAAGATAAAAGAGAATAATTAGAAAAAATAGAAGAAGAATTAGAAAAAGAATTAGG